GTCCCTCCAGGACCAACAAGGCTTTAGCTGAATCTCTGGACCGGGCCGTGGACCCACAGGACCCGCTGGTGAACAGGGTGCTGAGGATGATGGCCACTACTGCCATGTCACAAGCTCTGTACTTCTGCACCGGTCTTGAGTCCCAAGACCAGTACTACCATTACGGTACACCAAACAATACCTACGTGATATCTTTTGCTTTTATTTTGTAGTTTGTTGTTTATTTTGTTTTGTGTCTTTGTTTTTATTTTTTATTGCAAATGAGGCTTTTGAATTCTTTTTTTCCATGATTCAATGTGAATATTTAAAGGTTATATATACGGAATTAACTTGCTGATAGATCACATTAGAGCATCTCAGACCAAAGCAATGGGCGCTACAGATGACCTGACGCCATCGACAAAACTAGTAATTTTACTCAGCAGGTAATTGTAAAATAAATAAAAACTGAGCAAAACCATCTTTGATAGTCGCAGCGTAAACTAACATTAATCCTTGGGGACAAATGCACCCATCAAAGTCCGTCCACTATAAGTTGTTGTTGTTGCCACTGATCATCTTAACATAATAACTTCATTCAAAGTGGACAGAAACAGAATCAAACTCATTAAAAGCGTCTCTGTTAGTGTTTCCAACAATCACCAACTCTGGTTTGGTGGAAATAAATCCTTAATTCACCGACGTAGATGATAAAAACAGCAGTTTCAGTCGGAGCAGACCGGCTATGGAAACAAACCACAGAGAGGCTGCGATACAACACAGGCAGAGGGAGAGAGACACCATGTGACTCTGTGTCTGTATATAGAGAACAGCTGTTTGTTCATATATTAATGATTTAATGTTTTCATATATATAACCTTTAAAAAATAAGATTCTTTAGACTAAAATGATGAAATAAAAGAACTGTGCTGGTTTCTCTCTCTCAGGTCTGGCTCTGGACCGCTACACACACTTCACCTCACCCATCCGTCGCTATGCCGACATCGTGGTCCACCGCCTTCTCACCGCGGCCATCGACGTGGACAGAGGAGTGGACCCTTGTAAAGCATTAGTCGGTTACAAAGAACTGGAAGAAACGGCTTATCATATCAACAGCAGGAACGTGGTCAGTGCCGTTTACTGGTTCTATGATTCACTGCTTTCTATATACTGTAAAATAAACTCTTGTGACCTCTGCGGGACCTTTCCAGGCGGCCCAGCACGCCCAGAAGCTGTCCACAGTTCTGTTCCAGTGTCTCTACTTCAAAGAACGAGACCCTCAGACGGACCCGCGCTGCGTGGCGGACGCTGTCATCTACTCCATCCGAGACAACGGCATGTTGGTGTTTGTCCCAGAGTAAGAAAACGAGTAGCACTACTTCCTGTCTGTGGCTCCGAGCCCGTTGGTTCCTGTAGCCCTGACGGCGCCTCTGCTCTTTCCAGGTATGGCGTGAAAGGGCCGGTGTACGTGAAGGACCGAGAGGGCCTGGTGGTCGCTGTGGGACAGGACGGCAGCTGCGAGTGGCAGAGCGGCTCCGTACGACAATACCCAGACCACATCACCACCACCTCCGCCTGCGGCACCGCCACCTTCAGGCTGTTCGACCACATCACCGTGAGTCACCACAGTCAACGTATTTCATATCGGATGTGGACTATTTAAAGGTCCAGTGTAACGTTTAGGATTATTTTACTTAATTATACTTACAGGAATAACAAATGCACATAAAGGCAGAAATGAATGTGTTTATAATCATTTCTTATTGATTTGACAGATAATATTGATGAATATTAACAATCCTCTGCCGTCCACAGGTTCGTATTTCTGTCCACTCGTCATCTTGCCACCCAGACAGTCTGAAGCTCGAGGTGATCAGCAACAAACGCCACTGCAGCGGCGAGCCGCAGCAGCCGCGCTCGCAGGGCCGCAGCCAGCTGGTGCAGGAGGTGGTGCGTCTGGCCGAGGAGGCGTACCAGCAGGCCCAGGTGGTGGCGGCCCGCCGGCCCAAACTCTCCAGAGAGGAGAGAGAGTTCAGCCAGAGCAAAACTCCCAATCTTTACTCCCTCCTGGAGGAGGTGAGGGAGCTGGCTCTCATGGACCTGGAAATGGCCGCACAGATGTAGAGCGGCAGCAACACGCACACAGCTGGAAGTGAAGACACTGAAGAGCACGACGGTTTTTAAATATCACAGATGACTGCTGGAAATATATGAACCTACATCAGGACACTTTTACTAATGAACTCTTCTGCAGTTTATTATCTGTAAACTTTGTATGATATAAATGATAAATGCTTTCTCTTTAAAGAGTCTTTGATATTAAATGAGGAGAAATATGCTGAATCTGACTTTGGTTATTATATAAATAGAGAAGAACTGCAGAGTAAAGTAACTGATATTCATTTGTTCATGTTATTAAACTGCAGTAGACACACACTGAGACATTAAGTGGTATTTTAACAACATTGGTGATTCTTTATTAGGATGAATGATTGAGGAATTAATGAATCATTTGAGCTATTTACATTTAAAAACTACTGATAACAAAGTGCTTCGCTGGTTCATCCTGTCTCCGGTCCTGTCATAACTTTGGTTTTCTTCCATAAAATTGCTTGAAAATGACATGGACGGTTCCCTGCTGTGCTTTATTATTAGAATTCATAACACCTGTGGTCTTCCCAGGTCAATTTGACCTGGCCACATTGAGTGGTGCAATGGGTCACACTATTGCGCTTTCCAGCACAACACACACACAAAAAAACTGAGCTTGTAAGTCCAGCATCCTCGGGGTATTTCACATTTCACTCTGAGACAGCGCGATGAAGAGGACCTACACTGTATCACAGGCTCTTGACTTCATGTTGAGCCCTGTGGAGGAGGAGAGAGATGAGGAAGAACTTGCAGAAGAAGAGGAAGAGAACATCACTGAAAACGAAGATTATGCTCCAACTGACGAGGAGGAATCAAGCGATGAAGAGGACCCTGCTGAAAATGAAGATGTTTTCCAATCCAAAGATGGAAATCTTCTCTGGTCCTCCGTTCCTCTGAGTGACGGACGGCGTATGTTGGGTGCAGAGGGAGAGAGGAGCCCCAGAGGGCCAACAAGGTGTGCTGTCAGCACGAGAGACAAAGTCTACCTTTGAGTTGTTTATGGAGGAGAACATTGAGAAGATAGTGCTGCAAATGACCAGCCAGGAGGGGCGTCGTGTGTGTGTGGTGATAACTGGAAGGAGATGGACAAAACAGATCTACAGGGATACCTGGGTCTTCTGATTCTCGCTGGTGTCTACCGGTCCAGTAAAGAGGCCACGTCCAGCCTGTGGCACGCTCAGTCTGGGAGGGCAATTTTCCGAGCCACCATGCCACTGAAGACATTGCACATCATCTCTAGAATCCTTTGTTTTGATGATCGCGACACCAGACCAGAGCGCCGTGCCAGAGACAAACCTGCAGCCATCCGAGAGGTGTGGGATAAGTGGGTGTGTGGCCTGCAGCTCATGTACAATCCCGGCACTGATGTGACAGTGGACGAGCGCCTGGTCCCGTTCAGAGGTCGCTGTGGATTCAAGCAATACATGCCGAGTAAACGCAGCAAGTACGGCATCAAAATCTGGGTAGCCTGCGATGCCCAGACCAGCTACGCCTGGAACATGCAGGTGTACACAGGCAGACCTGCGGATGGCCAGCCGGAGAAGAATCAGGGCCGGCTCGTGGTTCTGGAGGTGACAGAGGGTCTTCGGGGACACACCATCACATGCGGTAACTTCTTCACGCCCTATGCCCTTGGCCAGGAGCTCCTGAGGAGAGAGCTGGCCATGGTGGGAACAGTGAGGAAGAACAAACCAGAGCTTCCCCCTGCACTGCTGGCGACAAGAGAGAGGGCCAAACTCTCTTCCCAGTTCGTGTTCACTGACACGCACGCTCTCGTCTCCTACTGCCCCAAGAAGAGGAAGAGTGTGTTCTCATGAGCACTCTGCATCGGGACACTGCAGTTAGTGCCGCGCAGGACAAAAAGCCCCAGATCATCCTACACTACAACAAGAACAAGGGGGGAGTCCACAACCTTGACACGGTATATTGATAAGGTAGATATTCGTTCAGGTCAACGCATTCTTGTGTAAGAAAAGAAGGATTCAGTTTTGAATGAGTTGTTGCAGGTCACCAGTGTATACAGCTGTAAACGGATGACAGCCCGTTGGCCCGACAGTATTCTACAACATGTTTGATGTGTCTGCGTACAACTCCTTCGTGCTGTGGAGAGAGATCGACCCAACCTGGAGTCAGGGGAGATGCCACAGGAGGAGGCGCCACAGGAGGAGGCGCCACAGGAGGAGGTGCCACAGGAGGAGGCTGTTCCTTGAGGAACTTGGAAGAGAACTTGCGACACCTCTCATGACACGACGCCAGGTACTTCCCCGCTCGCCAGCCTCTGCCAGGTTGGTCAAGGCATTGACCTCTGCAGCTGTCCTTCCTCACCCAGCTGCTGCTCCTCCTCCTCACCCAGCTGCTGCTCCTCCTCACCCAGCTGCTGCTCCTCCTCCTCACCCATCACCTACAAGGAAGAGGTGCCGATTCTGCACAAGTGACAACAAAACCAGCACCGGTGCAAAAAATGCGATGCACATATTTGCAAAACCCACAGCATCGTAACCTACCACTCATGCAAATGAAGACAGACAGACAGACAGACAGACAGACAGACAGACAGACAGACAGGCTTTTTTCCTGTGTTTTTGATTTTATAAAGTAGATAAAATAAGGTGTTTTGAAATAAATATTTAAATCCTATTTGTTTGCTCTCTGATTTATAAATACAATTGAATCAGTCAATATCCTGGCTAATATTTGACATATACCAGTCAGTGGTTGTCCAAAGTAACTAATCATTTCTGCTTATTTTGTTCAAAAACATGGTATAATTTAATGTATATGAGGTTTACTGAGGTGTAAAGGAAGTTTAAAATTTGTGGTAATGAGTTGGAATGAAGCTGGCTAAAAATATGGAACACAGAATGGCGTGATCATTTTACACTTTATACTTTATAAACAGTCGAACTAGAGACAGGAGGACAACAGGTGCACAGTAAATGGGAAGACGAATACGAGGGTTAAAGAGCAGTTTATAACCTGTAGTTAATGTCGACCTGAGTGTCCTTAAACAAAGAACATTTATACAGAAATGTTTACGGTTTGTCACTAACTATGTCCTGATGGATCAATGATAAAACATCAGTTTTACAGACACTTCCTCAGAGAACAAAAGGTTTTAATGTTACTGCAGCGACCTTTCACGCTCCACTGATGAACATAACGCGGTGCTGTTAACTGCAGGTAGGAAGGGTTTAATAACACTGACATTTCTGACATTTAAGGCTAAAACACACCGACGACAACAGCCGCCCCTATTATTTCTATACGGGACGTCGCGTCACACCACTGTCCTGTTTCCAGCATCGCCGCACCTCAAATTCTAAACTGTAATGACACAAATGACATCAGCTGGCTCCTCAGGCGAGTTTAAATCCCGTTTAAAGAGAAGACCACACCACCTGCTGTTGGAAATGTGTACCAGCCACTGCGTATTGGTCATCAGTGCAGACCTGCTGTTACCACGAGGCTGCCGACCGGCTCCAGGAGACGACGCGCTGCGCCGCCGGTGTGTTTTAGCCTGAAGGTTCATGTGGATATTTACAAGTAACACCTGGTACAATAACTGGAAACTGTGAAACCAAACTAAACTCCGCCATTTACTGCTGCATAAAGTGTTCATTCTCCGTCCTCACACCCGTCGCCGGGCTCATGGACCTCGCTGGGTTTGGTTTCTTCCTCTTTCTCACGCTGAGGTGACTCAGCAGGTGACTCAGCAGGTGACTCAGCAGGTGACTCAGCAGGAGGCTCAGAGTCTTTGTGTGGAAGCTGGCTGGGCTGCTGTGTGCTGCTGACTGGCTCCAGGTGTAAATCCTCCACCTCCTCATGCTGATCTCTGGAGCTGTTGAGGGCGTTTGAAGAGGAGACAGACGTGGGTTCATCCGCTGTCGTGGTTGAGTCAACAGTCTGAGAGTCTGAGGGATCTGGTGAGCAGCAGGAAGAGTTACTCACAGTGACGCTGAATGTTTCAGAAACAGTGAAACTTCAACTTCAATCATTATTATTTTTACTTTTACTGTGTCTCCAATGTGTGATAAAGACGAATCTATTGAACTCACCTGTTTGCTGCTGCTGGCGGGCGAGCTTCCTCTCCAGGGCGCGCTGTCTGTTCAGCTCCATGCGTCTACGCTGCTCCTCAGTCAGGGAGGGGGCAGCTGGGGAGGGGGCAGCCGGGGAGAGGGAGGTTTGAGAGGGAGCAGGCGGGGCGGCCGGAGCCGGGGTGGAGTGGATCGGCAGGTCGTTAGAGAAGCTCGTGCTGTTGAACGGATCCGGATCCCCGAAGATGTGCGATTCAGGAGCCGCCGCTTCTTCACCTACAGAGGAAGAGTCGATCTGACCTTTACAACACTAAACACGTTTAAAAGAGACTGAACGATGTCACTAATGTGAAGCTCATTCAGTCATATTCTGTTTTATCTCTTACCATCGTTACCCATATAGTCCTCATGTGTCAGTGGCATGTCCAGTCGAATCCGTTTGAGACAGGTCTGCCGCAGGAGGGAAAGGTCACTCATTAAATACTGCGCTGTACGAGTAAAAGGACACTTTACTGAAACATTTAGCATCAGTCTTCTTCCCACCTGCACTTCCTTCTTGCTGCCGAGCTTCTCCACTCTGTCAACGAAGTCTTCAAACTGCAGTTTGGGGTACAACCTGTGGGCCCAGTTCTCCATCTTCTTCATCAGCAGCCGCAGGTCTTCAGCCTGGTTGGACAAAACACCCAAACACCATGAAACACTGGCTCAATGTATGCAGTGTGGTAACGTATGAGCTGCTCCACAGTCCTCTGCTTCGGTAACCTGTCTGTCTGTCTGTCTGTCTGTCTGTCTGTCTGTCAGCTCTTACCTCGTGTCCTTTGCCCTTGAAATGGACGTTTTCAAACAGTGTTCGCAGAGCTGGAAGTCCTCTTTCTGAGACCAGCCTGAAGAAAAGAGTTCAGAGTGAACACTGTAAGTTTGATCACCAGCTGATAGAAAATAACATTAACTGACTTTATTGGCTACTCGGGTATGTTGGCTGCTCCCAGTCGTTCATAACTTCATGATGAAGTGACTCAGGTTCATTATCAGTAGTTTATGAGACACTACACTAGCACTACTTTAGCCACAGCCCACACATAACAGCTCAAATTAAACTGAATTTATTAGATTTTTACAGAATATTTATCTCCTCGCCTATTAAAAGAAATAGAAAGTGTTTGTTGCGTGTACAATAACACTGCTGTGCAAGTATTTATCAACCACAACAACACACTCAGCTAAATATTCACTGTGAACAACAAAAGTCATTTGGAGCATTAATTATGTAAAAATATGGATTGGAGCAGTTTTAGATTTTAACTTTAATGCAGCTTCAATAACTGAATCTGTAGCTGCGTTTCTGTTAAATTAAAGGGTTTTTTTTTAGGTTTCTTTTAAATAAATTGGGGTAATTTAAAACTCACAGGTCAGCAGAAAACAAACTTTCCACCATCAGGCGACATCTCGCTGTACTGCTTCCACTCTGCATTTTAACCCCTTTAAATCCTTCGTGTATACAAGCACTGACGTGTGAGGTACCTGTTAGAGTCCAGCTTGGGCTGCGGCCTCTTCACTCCTTTCCTTTTAGCAGCAGGGACGTCGGCCAGCTTGGACGCATCGCCGTCTTCCTCCCCTGTATGACCCGCACACAGGACAGGACACTTATACAACAGGGCCGTATAGGAGCCACTCTTTCAAATAATAAATGTCATTATACAATAACTTTCTCCAACTTCTAGCTATGAACTGGTTTAATGATCTTTAATATTCTCCCGGTTGATGGATTTTGACCGCAGCCTCTCACCGAAAGGGTCTCCCTCGTCTCGTCCTCCGTGGCCCGGGGAGTGAGGTGGCGGGAGGGGAGGGAAAGCTTCATCCTCCAAGCCTTCGTCAGGAATGTCATCCAGGTCATTTTCCAGCGGGTCAAACATGGTGTGTGATTCCCGGAGAGAAGGAGAAACCTGAATGAGCCACAAGGATGTTAATTCCACTGGCTGACTACAGAAGTTCATGTACTGAAGGACAACCATGAAAACAGCAGATTAACTCAAACAATGTCTGACAACCTGCTGCTGTAACAAAAGACTTTCACTGCTTGGGATCAATAAAGAAAATCTTTCTATTAACTGAACCATTATTAATAATATAAATATGTTATTATCAACCCCGATATATATCGTGCATCCCTAGGTGGACGTACTTAAGTACACAAATTTTACCTTATAATATACGAGTCCTATAAAATATGATGCATTTTATATTTATTAGAATATAAAGCTGTTAAATGTAGATTCACCTCAAATAACTACATTAAAAATGCTCTTTATGTTATTTATGTTAGACATCATTGATCCCACACAGCTCCAGATACAACAACAGATAATAAAATACACATTAAATAGAAGAATAATAAAGATATAATGAAAACATAATAAGAGTTATATTTATTTTATACTTTATACAACTTTATGTACAGTGACAGAAATACAGACGGGGCTATTAATGTGCAGCACAGGTCAAATATTAATAACCTGTGTGTAATTATATGTAATTATAATCTTTGTGTAGCAGAATTTCCATATTTAAGTGGCTGACTGTTAAAGTTAGTGTTGCTATAAGTTATTTTGGTCACTAATTGTCGATAACAAACACGAATATCGGCCCCGATATCAATCCCCCCCCCCTCCGTTAGCTCACAGATGGTATCGTCCTGAATACACAGATGGCGGTAAACTCAACACAAAGAGTAAAGACTGCTAAGCTAACGAGCTACCGCGTCACTTCGGGTCCTGTCCTGTCAGTGAACATAACGAGTTAACCCGCGAGTCTCCAACATGATGATAATATATAATATAAACTACTTTTATTTGAGTTAAAACTTAATGTTGCTATAGTTTCCTTACCAGATGTCCGGCGGCGAAGCGGCAGCGCAAGAGCTAGCGACACCAACTTCCGGGGCGAAGCTTTGTTTTTCAAAATAAAGTCCACAGACATGACGCTGAAGATGAGATCGACTTTGTTGATCCTTCACAATAAAAGTCACTTGTTACAGCAGATACACAAAATATAAGAAAATACACATCAAAATAAAAATAGAATAATAGAAATAGAAAAATAAGAATAATAGTTATAAATATGTACACTATATACAGCTTTTAAATAATAGTTATTATAAACCCTCATTATCTAATACATTAGATTTGAACATAAGTTCAGTTATTTACACTAAAACATTTTTCATTATAATTTTATCAGCTTAGAAGCTTATCCTGCATAAATAAAAGAGAGGTCATTCTTTGGGAAGAGACCGTGGTATAAACGGGATAATGCCCAACGAGGTGTCCGTTATCAGGAAATAATTCAATAACACAGCGTACGGTTTTACAGTTTGTTTAACAGCAACAGTAGCTCGTTATCAGCCATGTGACTGTCCCCAAATCAATATCAATATTTTCACTAAGGACAGGTTATATGTACTGAGGCTGCAGACTGAAGTAGAGTCCACTGCCCACCTCCTCAGGCTTTATCACTTACTCCTGTCCTGTTTATGATCAGTTTACTACTTTTACTTCAATAAAATAGAGACCGTTGACTTAAACACTTTCTTTGAAATAAAAATGTCAGTTATTAAGCACATTTCCTGTCATTACTAATGTTGTCAGGTAGCGACCAATAATTAATGGTTAAAGTGAACATACGGTTGATGATGTGACGAGCTATTGTAGTAAATGTATTAATTTGTGTATTTAATCATTATTTTTCTGTCTTTATTTTTTTATTCTCTTTATTTATTGAAGTGTGACTTCTTACAGTAGTTATAGTAAAAATATAGTAAACAACCAACATTATGTTCATGACTACAGTAAGTTCCTTCCTGCCCCACAATCCCATCCTCTAAAATTATTAATAATAATAATAATAATAATAATAACAGGCTCAGGAAGTATCTTAAAGTATATAACTTTTTGTTTAGAATATAAGTTTTTTATATACTCTTCCATCTTATGTCAAACAGTAACAAGATTACTTATCTTATGATTTAGGACCTCCATTTTATAAATATTAATTAATTGTATTCTTCCATTTAAGTTGTGGTTGATCTGGTTTCAGACATTTTTTGTTATCTGTTAAATTGCTGCTTTTTTTTTACATTTCTAATAGATATTTATAATTTTCCTGAGAGAGTTGCTGTGGCGCTTTACCGAGTAATAGTTGTTTGTGTCTTAAATGTAGTTTAACTCCATAATTTTACTCATTTCTGTCCTGCAGCACTATTGGACAGAAATGAGTAAAATCTCCTGTCTTTAAATTAATTAATTAAATTATAAGCTTAAGATATTAGATACCTTAACAACAAAATGCAATAACCTTAAATTATAATAAAATAATACAATGTCAAACAATGTAATAATACAAAACACAACGACAAAATAATAATGGGTTAGGCACAGTAGACACTCATTGTGTCCAGTTGCAGGGCTTTTAATTTGAAAGGTAAAACGCTGTTCTATAAATCCTCCTTTTGACAAAATTACACAGAAAACTATTTTCTCACACAACAATCGGCACCAACTCAGTCTTAAAAATGTTTAATTGAAGTTTATGATCCACAGAGAGTACAACACTTTATTCTCCATCACTCTTATTTCTTAATGTTACAAACTTGTTGACAATAAACCATCTCCTCTCTGCAGCTCGAGTAGCCTATAAAACTTTGCTACTTCAAAAACCACACAAGACCAGTTTGTTAAAAAATAATAAAATAAATGGTAATATGTCAAGCTTGAGTTCATTCTTCTTCCAGAGGTGTGACAGGTACCGGCTATTTGGACTGAAGAGATTATTCAAAACAGAACAGCAGGACAGTTAAATCAACAAAATGCTCTGGACAGGATAAAGTTTTACAGCTTTGAAGTCACTCTCAGATTCATTTCTTCTGCTGCACAAGGCCACTGACGGAGGGTGTGTGTGTGTGTGTGTGTGTGTGTGTGTGTGTTCAGAGGCGTCCACGCAGCAGGAACATGAGGAAGACGGCACTGAGGAGGATGCAGAGCGTGCACACTGTGGGAACCACAATCTCTGTAACCATCTCCATGTGGCCTATCAGCGGATCTGAAACACACAAAGGGAAATGTGAGTGAACATGTGTAATGTGTGTGTTACAGTTCCAGCTTCAGATCGGTGGAAAAGGCTCCCATGGACCTTGAAAACATACAGGAAAATCAATGCATCCTATAGATTTATTACAGTTCAGACGTTTTTAAAGGGCCCTGGAGTTCTGGGTTGGTTCCCCGGCCTTCCTAACCCCCCCCAAAACACCAAACACACATCTCATTGTTTTCCTCCACAGAGGGAGTTTCCTCATGGTTAGTCAATATTCTTGACAGTATATTGATGATATAATAATTTGATCCGATTTACTTCAAATATGTCCGTGAAGTCTAAAGACCATCTTGGTCAAAATCTACAAAGGTTGTGTCTGTGGCACGAAACAGTGTAGTCCGATCTGCACCATAATGCACATGTCTGATAAGATATATATTCTGTCAATGGTCCCACCCTGAACACATCTACATGCCAATATTCAGTCACTGTCATAGCTCCACCTACTGGCAACAGGAAGTAAACATTGTATGGTGATTGAGCAAACTCCGTCTGCTGAGGACGGCTAAGAGGAAATCGAAAAGAAATGCACCTTGATAATAGTTGTGTTCTGCGTGAAGTGGCATTTTAATGTTGCTGTGGTCGAGGTGGAGCTAAGGTGAAGCTATTTTATTTATGGTGGGGCTGAAACAATGTGTCTTAATCTATAAAGTCACAAATAAAGTGGAGTAAAACGCACTGAAATGAAGTACATGTATACAGTAGTATAAACACTGTCGAGAGATCTCACTCAGAAACAACTTGTGTACCTAAACTTCATCATGCACTGGCCAAGCCTTTTGCATTCCTGCATGTTCCTGATTTCCCTGGGATTTTCTTCTAGCTGGAGGGGCAAAACAAAGAAAAACCCTGTTAGATCGCGGAATAACAAGCTTGAGACAGATTTTTCCTTTGTTTGGCCCCACCTAGCTTGTACACTGTGAATGCTTTACTGTACTAACCTGCAGCCAGGAGCTGGTTACTGGAGGAGCAAGTCTCCACGGCTTTCCTCTTCCAACTCTCCACCTGTAAAGATCAGACAAACTCTTAACACTTAAATGCTCCATGCTCCAGAGGGTTTATTGTAATGTGTCGTTCGGAGTTTACCTCTCTCTGATTGGGGAAGCCATTAGAGCTGATGATGCGTTTATAGAACTGGACCGAGGCCTTCGGGTAGCGCGGCTTATTTTTGTTCCTGAAGTCCACATAGTAGAGTCCGAACCTCTCGGAGTATCCCTCATCCCACTCAAAGTTGTCGAGGAAAGACCAGGCAGTGTAACCCTTCACATTCGCTCCGTCCTTGATAGCTAACCACGGACAAAAACAAGCACATTTGTTGGTCGTATAAAATCTGACAGACACTCAATCATGTACCGTTATCTTTGTGTTCACAGCTTTTTCACCTTTGAGCATTTCATTGATGTAGTCTTTGAAGTACTTCACTCTCCAGTCGTCACAGAGGTCGGTGCAGAGCACTTTCTCTGACACGCCGTTTTCTGTCACGTATATCATCGGGTTTCCATACTGAGTCTGTTACGGAGACATTACATTCAGGTTTGAGGGGATACATACTCATATGTTCATGTCATTGTGTTCTTACAGTCAAATGAGAGGATCAGTGCCACTCTTTGTTTGGAGTTTGGAGCTGGAGTTAGTTAGGATTAGTGTAGCTTAGCATAAAGACTCTCTCCAACGTTCAAAAATACACAGTGAACGTGCTTGATGTATGGATAATCATTGTTTGCCAATAACTAATTACACATCAAAACTAGAACTGAAACTACAAATTGTTTGTAATTAAACAAAAATGATTTAACTTATTATTAATTATTGGCCTTTAGAGTTGCTCCTAGGGGTATTTTTCATAGAGCCAGGCTAACAGTTTCCCCTTGCTTTCAGTCTTTATGCTAAGCTAAGCTAATCACCTCCTGGCTCTAGCCCCGTACGTACATACAGAGAGTGGTATCGATCCTCTCAGATAACTTTAAAAAAAATACAAACTATTCCAGTAGTTTCAAAGGCATTCATTGCTTTTTAAAAAGCTTTTAATCTCTATTTTAATTTGGCTCTAAATTCTTTTATCAGTTCACTTTTGATGGTTGTGAGAGCCCAACTTGCATCATCACCTACATGCTAAATAACATTTTCCTCTCAGAAACCTAAACCCTTTCATTCTATGTTCAGTAAATCTCAGCTGGATATCTGGATTTTATTCAGATTTGTGTCGTGTACCTTTACAAAGTTCAGCAAGCGTCGGAAGCCCCAGGGAACCGAGTAGAGCCACTCAGAGCCAGGATCAGGCCACTGCGGGTCGACCAGCTCTGCAAGGTCACGATCTGCAAAGTAGCTGTCTCCGATGCCTGATGGGTAATTCTTCAGGGTGATGTAGCGAGTAGTGAAATGTCCGAGGCCCAGGAAGTCACAGGTTCCCTTGATGTAACTCTTCTCCTGAGGCGAGAAGACGGGCAGCCGAGAGGCTCCCAGGCCCTGCTGGCCACTCTTCCTGCCTGAAGGTGAAAGTTCAAGGGATTGTACAATGAAAATAAGACACATAAAGCTGCACACAGATGGGACACAGTTGGTCTTTCATACACATATTGCAGTGGTTTCCAAACCTTTTGACTTGTGACCATTTGTTGAAGCCATTACACTAATCTGTGTTTTACATATACTATAAGTTACTCACATGAGTATGATATGTAATGGCAACTTGTGAACCATTGTTATGATCCCCAGGTCAAACAATGAGGGTTTTTTCTCTTTATTGTTTAAAAAACTGGCCTCATTTTAGACTTAGTTCAATAAAAAATACACTCATTTGGAAA